TTGGGAATATGAAAAAGTCGCAAGGAGCCAAGTCGGGCTATAGGGTAGATAGGGAAGCACAGTGATGTGTTTTTTCAGCTAAGAACATTCTGACAGCCGAAGCACTGTGACTCGGTGCGATGTCGTGATAAAGGATCCAAACTGAGACGATCTCAGGACGCACATGAAAAACTGTGTCTCAAGCAATCAAAAACTTCCAATTAAAATGGTTGATTCACAGTAGGTACAAATTCCTTATGGATCATTCCATGTGAATCAAAAAAAAAAAGGGCCATTGATTTGACCTTTTTTGATTTGCTCACTTGAGCTTTCTTGGGGCAAGGTGACGTGAGTGTGTGCCATTCTGAACTTGGGATTATACTGAAACACCCAGGGTTCATCTCCTGTGGTCACTCTACCCAAAAAGTCAGGTTCTCTTTCCAAATGGACCAACAGGTCTTGGCAAACGAGTTGACGGTGTTCCTTCTGATCATGTGACAAGTTCTTTGGAACAAGTTTTGCACACACTTTTCTTGATTTCATGAACAATTGACTTGGTAATTCCCATTTCCTCTGCAATCATTCTGATAGTCAGCCGTTGGTCACGGTTGATAACAGACCTCACTGCATCTCCACACTGATCCATTTTTGACAAAGAGGGGCATCCTGATCATTGTTTGTCTTCAACACCTTCTCGTCCTTTCTTGAAGGCTTTGTACTATCAGTACACTTGTGCAGATGATGGCGCAGCTACTGCATAAGCTTTCCTCACCATTTCCAACACACTTTTACCCAATTTCAAACACAATTTTACCACATACTGCTGTTCCAAACTCACTTACATTTTTCTTCACACTAGGCACTTGAACAGGCGGTCTCAACTCTGACAGGGCTGGAATGCAACTGGTCAGTGTTCTAATGTATATCTGGCACCTCTCCCCAAGTGACTTTGGACAGCTTTTCCCTTCACAGAGCCCTTCTTGAGTGTAGGAACTTCATTCTCATTCTCTTCTGGACACACCTTGTATGTAATTAAATATTGGTTGAGTCAAGGAGAGGAGATGGTTAGGTAAATTTTATTATCCATTCAAGGACATAAGCTCATAGATCATTTTTTTTGTTTTGTTGTTGTTTTTTTTGTTTTTGCTAGTGTCCACCTCCCTGAAGGCAGCATTATAACCCACATGTCTAGGGTTTATTATATCTCTTAATGGAGAAAACAGATTTTACAGTAGGTACAGAAATCTTATTTTCAAAATATTATCCATTTAGGTAAAATTATAGACATTTGAGTTTTGTTGCTGTATTCAAGAAATGGACAGCGCCAAAAAAACTCACTTCTGTGATTTAAGATATCCCTGTGTCCTTCAATACACTAACCAAAAGATTTTTGTATTATAACATTTTCCTCAGAGTGACTCAGGGATATATTAAATAGTAGACATGTGGGTTGTTGCTGCATTCAGTAGGTGGACACTAGCAAAAAACACACGCCTATGGTTTACTATACCTGTATCCCTCAAAGGACTACATGAAAAAGATTTTAGGATACAAAAACACTTTTTTTTTTTTTTTTTTTTTTTTTTTAGCAACAACTGGTACTTATTATCATTCTTTCAGCACATGAACACATCTATCACAGTATTGTATGGGTAAAAAGTGTCCAGGCAGAGACTCGTAGGCAAGTTTTTAGTAGAGTAAAAAAATTCATAATACATCAATTGTTGGCAACTGTCAGGTTACTCTGGCTTGTGTAAATCACATTATTAAACTTTGCTAAACACAAAATTAGTCAGGGTGCTAGGGGTGGAGGGATGGGGGGTGTTCCTTAGTTGCCAGTGGGGTTATCTGTTTAAGCAGCATTTTGATTGTCAAAGTAATCCTCTTTGTGCAGAAAATGAGACTATTTTCTATTTGGCTAGCTGTGACTTGCAGCAATCAGACTGATACAGCATCAGTCTTCCGTCTTCTCTAATGGATACATAAAAACAGAACTTTGCTTTGATATCAAAATTTGCTAACCGTGCAGCTCATGCAGGAGCACAGCAGGAAGGGGAATCAAAAGGCTGAGCTGGTTCTCCCTGGTTTAGACTTAGACCCCCCCCCCCCCCCCCCAGTCTTCCTTCCAAGTTCACTGGCTCCGGTCCTTTGAATGGCCAAGCCACAATGACGTCACTCCCACACGAGAGTCACTGTTTACAGCACACATGCATACCCGTGCCGTCCCTTCAGAGAGCATGGACTGGTGACGTCACCGGCTACATCCAGTGTGAATATCTCCTAAATGCAAATAAAAAGATGGCCATCACCCAAGTCTATAACTGGCTTATATAGCAAGGACACATAAACAGGCATCACATAGCAAATAAAGGGGAGAAAACAATGTTCTTGGACAACTTGCCAGCCAGCTTGCCAACAACCGAATTAACCTGTCTAACAGTATGCGTTTATAACAGGAGTTTAGTTAGCACACATTTGCAAATACATACGTAAGCCACAGAGCCACATCACAGCACCCTGATATTCTGTGGTCCTAACTCTACAATTTCTGAGAGACCCCATAGTAGAGGCACATGTATTTAATGGATAGATCAAGGGCAGGTGGACCTGAGGGAGCCCACCCCTCTTAAAGGCAAAGGAGTGCACAGGACCCCAGCATATAGCACAATGGCAGCCAGGGCATCCTAGTGCACCCACTTGCCTAAACTCCAACTCTGCAAGTTTAGGAGCTATTCACTCTACCTACAGGTAAGCCTTAATTTAGGATAACCTGTAGGTACAACTTCAAAAGTGAAGTTTGCTACCGCTTTAGGCTGCCCATACACCATTAGAACTTTTTTGATCAAAAGTTCATGCAAAAATTTGTTTGTCACAGCATTCAGTAGTACTGTTATGATCTCGACAAATTTCTTATGAAAACCCTGAAAAATTGCCCTTTTTTTCTTTTTTCTTTTTACCTAGGGTTTTTAATTCTGCATTCGATTTCAGGAAGTGCATGTACATTACAATAAGTGTGTGTGTGTGTGTGTGTGTGTGTGTGTGTGTGTGTGTGTGTGTGTGTATATATGTAATTTTTGTGTGTGTGTGTGTGTGTGTGTGTGTGTGTGTGTGTGTGTGTATACACACACACACAGCTCACAGCTCAAAAAATGAAATGGACACTTTGAAAACACATCAGATCTCAATGGGGAAAAATATCGTGCTGGATATCTATACTGATATGGACTGGGTAATGTGTTAGGAATGTAAGGATGCCCCATCATTTGATGGATATGAAAATTATCAACCTACAGAGGACTGAATTCAAAGAGACCCCTAAAATCAAAGTGAAAAATGATGCGGCAGGCTAGTCCATTTTGCTGAAATTTCGTTGCAGCAACTCAAAATGGTACTCAGTAGTTTGTATGGCCCCCACATGCTTGTATGCATGCCTGATGCCTGACAACGTCGGGGCATGCTCCAATTGAGACGATGGATGGTGTCCTGGGGTATTTCCTCCCAGATCTGGACCAGGGCATCACTGAGCTCCTGGACAGTCTGAGGTGCAACCTGGTGACGTCAGATGGACTGAAACATAATATCCCAGAGGTGTTTTGATGGATTTAGTTCAGGTGAGCGTGGGGACCATTCAATGGTATCAATTCCTTTATCCTCCAGGCACTGCCTGCATACTCTCGCCACATGAGGCCGGGCATTGTCGTGCACTAGGAGGAACTCGGGACCCACTGCACTAGAGTAGGGTCTGACAATGGGTCCAAGGATTTCATCCCGATACCTAATGGCAATGATGGTGCCATTGTGTAGCCTGTAGAGGTCTGTGTGTCCCTCCATGGATATGCCTCCCCGAACCTTCACTGACCCACCACCAAAACGGTCATGCTGAACGATGTTACAGGCAGCATAATGTTCTCCACAGCTTCACCAGGCCATTTCACGTCTGTCACGTGCTCAAGGTGAATCTGCTCTCATCTGTGAAAAGCACAGGGCGCCAGTGGTGGACCTGCCAATTCTGGTGTTCAATGACAAATGCCAATCAAAATCAATGGTGCTGGGTAGTGAGCACAGGGCCCACTAGAGGACGTCGGACCCTAAGGCCACTCTCATGAAGTCTGTTTCTGATTGGTCAGAGACATTCACACCAGTGGCCTGCTGGAGGTCATTTTGTAGGGCTCTGGCAATGCACATCCTGTTCCTTGTTGCACAAAGGAACAGAATACCGATCCTGCTGATGGGTTAAGGACCTTCTATGGCCCTGTCCAGCTCTCCTAGGGTAAATGCCTGTCTCCTGGAATCTCCTCCATGCTCTTGAGACTGTGCTGGGAGACACAGCAAACCTTCTGGCAATGGCACGTATTGATGTGCCATCCTGGAGGAGTTGGACTGCCAGTGCAACCTGTGTAGGGTCCAGGTATCTCTTCATGCTACCAGTAGTAACACTGACCCTAGCCAAATGCAAAACTAGTGAAAAACAGTCAGAAAAGATAAGTAGGGGAAAAAAATGTCAGTGGTTTCCACCTGTAAAACCATTCCTGTTTTGGGGGTTGTCTCATTGTTGTCCATCTAGTGCACCTGTTGTTAATCAGTTTCAGCTGCTTTGGTGTCAAATTAAACAACACCCTCTGCTACTTAACTGACCGGATCAATATCCCAGGAGTTTAATTGATGAGAGAGGTTTCCGTTCTGTGGTCAAAAACAATCACTGATTTGGATACCATTTCATTATTAGAAAATTGAACAAACTTTGCATTTTTTTTGTAAATTAAATTATAGTATGCTAAGCTGGAGTAGCCACACTACTCTATGACAGGTACATGTGCATCTATTTGAATTTTAGCTCCAAACTGCAAACACTGTCTTTTCACGGACATCTGTAGCTTTTCCAAAGTGATGCTGGGGTTGTTACGTGGTTTCGTTTTAATTCCAAATCGTGCTTAGCGGGGTTTTAATTTAAGCCACATGCAATTAATCTCATGATTGTTGGGGAGGATGTGAGTAATGTATTGATTATTTTTGTTTTTCAGATCAACCCATAATGAAATGGAGAAAAACAGGTACGTCCAGTCTTTTTACAGGTTTATTCATTTGTTGGCAGCAGCACAGTGACTTGTTTGGTGCACCTGCTGACAGTCTTGTCCCAGCCTCCTCCTGCGTCCTCCCTCTTTCCTGCTTGTCGCATCTCTCTCCAGTCTCTGCTTTGAGTCATTAGAGCCGAGCTGTGTCCTTCCCTTTCTCTGTGTGAATGTGTGTTTGTTTTTCTTCTATCCCCAATACTACTCCACCCTAATAATTGGTATAATTAGCGAGTAGGCTTGGAAGATCATTTTGTTAGGTTTTCGTACTTGTTTGTGAAACTCAAATTGAGATCAATTTGAAACTCTAAAAATAAGTTTGTTTTCACGCTAAGTTTTGTTTAGCACATTTCAAATTGCAAATTGGTATTGTGAAAAAGACATTGCAGTCTGGTTCTTGGTCATGATTTGTTTATGGCTCAGAACTGGAAAATATATTTAGCTGTTGTGATTATTTAAATGGCCACTAAACCACGATTTGACATTCATATTTGTACTAGTTTGTTTCCATAGTTAAAATAAGGCAGATCACTGTAGGATTTTTAGGTTCGAATCTGTGTTCACTTTTATTGCTATGTGTTTCTGCATTGGGGTAATTTTCCTCTTGCATCCCGTTCTAGTTAAAAGATGTGACCAAAATGGGAAGTTGCATGAAAATTTCCCAGTGGGGACACAGATGGCAATAACAGAAGCTCCAACTGTTCCCTACACTATCCTTTGAAACTGTTTTTATGGGAGTTGTGTTTTTGAGCTTTCCAGTAACTTAATACAGCATATTACATTACTAGCTTTTTCAGCATCCAATCACACTGAGCGTGAGCGTAGCCAGGCAACTTCAAAAAGCTTTTTTTTCTTTCTTTCTTTTGTACCTGTGACTTGCCTGTTAAAGTCTTATAAGGCGAAAATCACATGAAAATCACAGTAAAACTGGCCCTTTGTTTAGAAAGTTTGGTAATGTTCAGGTCTATGGGAACCACTTTAAATCAGATATATCGGGTATCAGTGGGAAAAGTGGCCCTAATATTAGTTGTCAGTAGGAAAAATGCATCCCTTACAGTGGTGGTGAGCGTTGTCAAATTTTCAGGCAGCTAGGATTGGCCCCAGAATTCCATCAGATGGTAGGTTAATCAACCACAGCCCAGTGAAGCCCCAGCAACCTCTGGAGGAACCCTAGGGTTTCTTGGAACCCTGTTTGAGAATGGCTGTATTAATGTGTTTTTTTAATGTGTCCTGAAATGTGATTTGCACATGCATTTTGTTCACTTATATTTTATACTTTATAAAACCATCTTAAGGTTATTGAATTACTGCTGCAGAATTGTAATTGTCCATTGCATGTGTTTTGTCTATTTTTAATTTTTTTTGTATTATTATTGATTGATTAACTTAATGAAATACTCTTCTAAGCAAAACTGGATGTTTCCAATTTTATGTTTCATGATCATCTGATCATGTCCGTTATTTTCTGTCTAAACCTTTCCTGTTTTGTGTTTCTCACCTAGGCGAGCTCATTTACGGCTATGTCTGGAAAAGCTGAAAGTATTGGTACCCTTAGGACCTGATTCCAATAGGCATACTACATTAAGTCTCTTAACAAGAGCAAAGTTGCACATAAAGGTAAATTCTTACATCGATCTGATATCTGGCGCTGTGGATTCTCGGAAATTTGGTGTTGCTTTCCGTTGATGTAGCTACATTTTATTTTCCGCCTCCTTTTTATCTTTTGTAGAAACTTGAAGATTGTGACAGAAAGTCACAACACCAAATAGAGCAGCTACAGCGGGAGCAGCGACATCTAAAAAGGCAGCTAGAAAAATTTGGCGTTGAGAGGATACGAATGGATAGTATAGGATCCGCAGTATCTTCCGAGAGATCTGATTCAGATCGAGGTTAGTATCCATTACACAGCAACCTGACTCCTCCTAAATGAAATGATTTTGCTTGATTTTCTGTATGTCTGTCACTTACATACAATAGCAATAGGCATTGTGTAAGCTAAACAGATATTTACAAAGAATTCCTGGTCATTGATTACACAAGAGACTTCACAGAACCAGAAGAAAGAAAAGGGTGCGTGTTTACTGTTCAGTGGTGACTATAGCAGATTATGGTTACCCCAAGACATCAGCACAGCTGCTTATAGTCTACACTGAAAGCACATGTTGACATGGTGACAACACAGGACTGCAAATGGAAAACGAGATCAGGCATTGTCACCTTTATGATAGAAAGCACCTGATTTAAGTTTGCTATATACAGATTATTTTTTTTTTTTTGTTTAGCCAGTAAGATATTCCTCCATCCAAGCTATACAGCGTTAATGATGGTATTTCCCACTGTGTCTATTGTATTCTGAAAGCCAATTCCATCAGCTGTCAGAATACGCGAACAGCGACTGAATCTGATTGGTTGCAGTTGCTGTTCTGCTGAAAATTCTCCATTTGGCTCCTTTTGTGTTTTTTCTAATGAAAAATGTCAGGCTGAAAGGTTGGTGTCAGGGCCACCCATGCAGCAAACTTCATCTGGTATAGTGTAAGGCCAGCTTAAGGACTTTTTTGTGGCAGGATTACCTGGTTTTATTTTCATGATAGCGGCAGATTTATAATTGCATTTTAAATTCAATTTATTCTGAAATTACATTTAGAATTTTAATATTGAGATTTTAGTATTGAAACCAACTTCCTCACCTTGATTCTGTTAAATGAGCAACACTGCAGTTCACACCTGCCCCTGTTTGTAATTCTTGACCTGCAATGCATGATTTTCCTGATGAAAGGTTTAAGGTGCAAAGACTCCCCACAGAGAAGTACATCCTTTTAAATGTTGCCTGCAAAACCTGTTTAAATATTGTATGCTGAATATCTGTTCATAAAATGCCTGTTCTATAGTATGCAAGTGCACAATGTCTTTCACTAGACTCTCACTCACTAAATGTGTTTTCTCTGCAGAGGAGATTGATGTGGATGTAGAAAGTACAGACTATTTAACAGCAGAGCTGGACTGGAGTAGTAGCAGCAGCAGTGCCAGTGACTTGGATGAGCGGGGAAGCATGCAAAGCATTTGCAGCGATGAAGGGTATTCCAGCTCTGGAGTTAAAAGAATAGAACTCCAAGACAAGCCAAAACACAGTGTTACCCTATAAACCAACAGCAACAGGTGAGGGCAAAGTGGGGGGGTGTTCAAATGTCCCAGCAGTTCTTCCCCCCCCTCTTTCCCAGTGCTCCCACATCAGAGACTTGTCTTATCTAGTGACTGCATTCACACCATAATCTTGCACGTGAAAAAACCCACTCCGACTCCCAGCTCTCTGTTCCTCGCTTCTTTTTTTGTTTTTTCCCCAGAGCTCCTGAGAGGCATGTGGGTGTCCGTTTACATTTTGAAATCACACGCTATCCCATCAGCCAGTTGACCTCCAGGAGACTACATTCCAGACCTACTTTGAAGCACTCAAAAAAAAAAAAAAAAAAAGAAAAAAGTTAAAATGATCGATGTAGTTTATGTATATGGGGAGCAACATTTCTGCAATGGTAAAGATTGTTGACTGTGAATGCAGAGGTGAGTGTGTGCTACTCACTTTTCTGCACGTTTCATCTCTACCCACTAGACGGCACAGAGGTCTCGCTTTCTCCCTGTAACACCAAAATGTTCTTGCATCACCTGGAAGACACATCTGGGAGCGGTATGAAGGATTTATGGTTGAAAGCATCTTGCTACACGGCAAGGCTTCAGTTTACAGCTACTATACTATTCAATCAGAAGCTGCCAGGAAGCTAGAGAGGACTTTCCACCTCTGTTGAGTGACTCTGGCTCAGAACAGTAAGATTGCTGCTAATATATAAATATATATATTTTGTTTCTGTAAAGTTGTGCACCAAATGTTGCACTGAACCCAGCACAGTCTAAAGAAAAGCAAAGCTGGACCTTTCTGGCTACTTTTTTTTGGAAATCTCTAAAGCCACTTTTATTTTTATTTTTTTTTTTCTTCTGCTTTCTGTGCTTGGCTTTTCATAATTGAGTCTTATTTACTGTTCTTCTATGGGTCATTGTGTTCCATGTTTCTAGTAGTACATAATTAACATTGATTTCATGTTAAGTCAGCATGTACAAAATGGCTAGCATGTTTTTTTTAGACCGGTCTTAGGAATCCTGTGGCTGTCTCTCACGCCACTTAGACAAATGCTTTGGGGTTAGGGAACAGTAGGTGGGTGCAGACTGCCACAGTATGCCTATGTGTATTCTAGAGAGTTGAGCTTTTATTTGAAAGATGGACCCCTGCTTAAGACTCCCTTACCTTATGGTTGAAGGCCTAAAGGAACCTGGCCATTGGATGAACTGATTACCATTGCCAAGCCCTTTCTAAAATATTAAATGCCTAGCTTTTAAGGTGATCCTCCGGCTTCAGTACTTTGAATCGCGGACCCAAATCAGTATGCCACCTGTGAAATTAGAACTTCAAACCTGTATGGTTTTTCAGGGCCAGTAACTCAAAAGGTACCCAGAGACCAAAGGATCAGCAAAACACTGTCATATTTTAGAAGGAGATATGCAGTGGCATCTTATGTACTTCCTTTTATAATGGGGTACTTTTAAGACCTAGGGATCTGGCTGCACTCCTACATTCCTCGACCTTGCCTCCACCCAAAGAGCCACTTAATATAAAGATTTCTGATATGGTGTTCAACACTTCTATTAAATGGATATCCTTAATAAGCCAAAACGATCTGCACAGAGCCAAGGTGAGCATGACAATTGTGTTTGTGGAGTAACAAGATGATCCCCCACCCCTATTATTATAAGGAGTGAGTTTGACGCAGGGCTCCATTCTTCATTAAAGTTTTAATATCCGTTTACAAAAAAAAAAAAAAAAGATTAGAAATGTTTGGTATCAGTTGTTGGGTTTTTTTTTTTTTTTTTTTTTGTTTTTTTTGTGTTTGTATGAACACATCACATATACATCCTCTTACCAAGCAGTGCTTTGGATAGGATCCATAAATCACTTCAAATGCTCAGCATTTGCCACTGCATTTAGTGATCCCGAGCAGATGCATTATTGAAGGATATCTACTTTGCGTCCTGTCGATGGGACATTTTTATTATTTTCTACCTCACAGAAAGATGAACAAGGATTGCTCTGCATCTTTTAGAGCAAAACACAAAAATGTCTTGCTGGACACTCCTTTTTAGCTTTTGAATAGTTTTTAGCAAAACCAAATCCGAAGTGTGTGTTAAGTACTGCCACAGGTTTTCTTCTAAACACTGCTGAGTGTAGGACTTGCTGTGGTGTCCAAGCCACTGCTGAGGTGTTAGGCCTTAAGTCACAGGCACACCCCACAGACACTGGAGCAATAACCAGGAGCACTGCATTAGCTACCCTGCTAACAGCACAATGTTATAGTACCAGAGACTTAGCTCCTGGCTTCCTTTTTATAGCTTTCATTTTGCCCCTCCATTTTGAATTTGCAATATCCTTTCTCTTCTAAGTTTACTAATGTGCATTTTTTTTTTTTGTTTAAATTCTTGTACAATCTAACATGAAAAAAAAAAAAAAAAGATATTTTTGAGATTTACCAGCAATGCAAATGTTCCAGAATTCTTTTCCCTGTTTCCCGCTGCCTCAAATCACTCAACTGTGTTTGCACCCAACCAACCCTGCAGTAACCACAATGAAATCAAAGTTGGACCACCAGGACTTTTCAGCACATAAGGGCTTACTGGAATACTTGCCTCATTAACACAGGGGTGAACCGAGCATCATCACAAAGTATTCTATAAATATTCCTCAAACCATTCAGGGAGAGGCCATTTTCTTTCATTGGGTCTGAAGAGCTCATACTGTCACTTGTGGCTCGTGACTCTGTCACTCGTTTCCCAGTCAGTAAACCCTCCATTCTAGTTTTCTACCTTTCTAGGAATACAGTTCAGTTATGCTATTAAGAAGCACACCTAGTTGTAAATAAATCACATGAAATCTAAAACTATTTATTCTTGTTTTGTATAGCTGATGTATTAGGGAGATTCTTATGACTTTGTTTTTTTTTTATAAATGTTCTAAAATTTTTTTTTTTGTATGTATATAAATATATGGTATATATATAAATGTCTATTTGCAGATTATAAAAGTGTGTCAAGTTACACACAATACATTCGCACACCCTACCCCTAGTAACACTCTGTAGCATTACCTAGCTGTTCCCCTCACACTAATGCTAAATTGGTGACATAGCCCAGAATCCCTTCACCGGAAGAAGCCTAGTTGTAGGATATAAACAACTTGTATGAGGGCTATCATTGTGCCACCCAGAAAAAAAAAAAAATATTTTTTTGCTGCTGCTAGTATGATGAATTTTATCAGTTTTGTCTTGAATTGACTAAATGATCTTTTCCTTGGGACCCCGGTCAGTAAATTTTGGGTTTGGGTTGAAGATGCTGTTTCGTCACTTGCCCATTTATTGATCTAACACTACAGTCTAAGAATTGATTTTAATATGGCTTCTAAAACTCATTCACTTTTCAGGGAGCTATTCTGTGGGCTCGTATAATGTTCTCTGATACTAGTTGAGGCTGCAAAATGGCTGCTTCAACGTTACTTGACTGAGGAAATTAAAATGCCAACAGTTTTTTTTTTTTTTTTTTTTTTTTGCTTTGGTCACATGTAGTTGTGTATTGGTGAAATTGGATTAATACAATGGAATCTCCCACTGTTTTTTTTTGGCATTAAAAGGATGAATGAACACTCACTAGGCAGCTACTAAAGTCAGCAAACAAAATTGTTTGTCATTGGTTAGCCATTCCTTTTTTAGAGTTTTTTTTAATTTTCTTTCTTTGCTTACCAAACTTAGAAACCTGTCAAACTCAGGGATAACTAGAGTTGTAAAGCAACTCTTAAAGGAGCTCTCTTTTCAGCAAGGAATAATGTCTGATGGTACAGTGTCTGGGTACGGGGTTGGCTGTTGACAACACTTGTGTCGGCAGTTCCACTCCATCTTCTCCCCTCTCATATGGAGTTTGGCTCTGGGCTTGTGTGGAGCACTAATGCAGCTTTTTTGACACCTTTTAACATCAGTTTGAGATGCTTCTGAGAGCTCCAAATTCACTTCCAGGTGCATTTGACCTACAGTTGACTTCCTAAACTGCTACAACTTGGTTAAAGCTGTTTTTGTATTCCTATTTATGTTTATGGGGAGAGAAGCAGTTCTGAGGTGAACAAAAGCCCATCGACACAGACTCTTTAAGGTTTTCAACATGAGCCAAATGAGGTTCACAGCTCATAGTTTTTCTGTGTGGAGTAAACCTTTAACAGTGAATCCTACCCAGCTATGTGCCTCTCATAGTGCAATAACCTACACTGTTGACTTTTTTCCTTTGGAAAATATTCAACAGATTCCCTTACAAACCTGCGGCATACAGGGTCCATTTGTGTCCTTTCATGTCTTTCTATCAGACAGTGCTTGTATACAAAGCAACACGGCAACCCTTCTGCTCACAGTGGGCGATGTACACAACAATTTGAACTCTGAAAAGCTTTCATGATAAAAGGGAAATTGGCGCACAAATCTTTTTGTTTGTTTTGTAAAACTTTTATATGTCTTTTTGGCTACATTTGCTCCTCTTTTTCTGCCTTTCCTTAATTTTTTTTTTTTTTTTTTTTTTTTTTTTTTTTTTTTTTTTTATTGCAGTAATCTAAATACGTGCTCTGATCAAAATTCAGAATCTTGCTACCTATTACAGGTTTTCTTTCCTTAATGTTAAAGGATTTGAAAGAGTGAGTCCAAGTATTTGAATCTTAACTATGGAAATTTGCTCCCTTTTATTTATGTTTACTCAGACTGAGTTTTTTACCTTGGGTCAGAGGTCATCTGAAGCCTGACCTCACACCCTGCACACTCAGAAGCTAGGAAATGGGTTTTAGTGTTGGGAAGTTGACAAAGTAACAGTTGTCATGCTTTAGATGTCTTCTGACCTTCTGCACCAATCTAAGGAGCCACACTCAAAGTATATGTAATAATAAAGAGGTAAACCTAATCTGTTCAC